CTCTGATTAAAAAGTGTTCCTTTAATTTTTTTGAGCAGTGTAGTTGTTTGTTATTCTGGGTCAGCTCCTGAACATCGCTATTTTGACGACAGAAAAAAACAGACTTTGGGCCAGAGCAAGGCACAAAGAGGTTGTTCTAGCGCTCTTAATTATTCCGAGGCATGTTTTAGGCTTAACAAGCAATAAACCAATCAGAATGCCACATTACGGATTGCTATAACAACGGCACATTTGCCCAGCAAGCCATTTTGCCTTTCGCGCAACTAAATGGATGTGCTCATGCATGAGTACATCATCTAAGGGAGCACCACTGTTCTAACTAAGCCTTTTGAGGAGAAGCAGGCATGGATTGAGGTAGTCTTCGTTTTCTTGGCATCACCAGATCATCCACGCAGCGCTGAAAGTGGTATGATGTCAGAAGACAGGGAAAACAGAAGCTTGCTGCTGAACGAGCACTGCGACCAGGAACTTAATTATCCTGTGTGTCTTTTATTTTAATTTTGGGTCTGCAGTCGTCAAAAAAAACAACCTACAGTTTTTAAGGTATTTTCAAATAAAATGCCAGCTTATTCTGATGGCTGTATTGTAATGTTTAACATGACTTATCTAAATCTCTGAATTGCATTTTCGGCACTACAAATGTCCTTTCAGTTACTGCACATGCTTAATTCTGATAAAGAAATTGAAAGATTTTTTAATGTTTAGTTTATTATGTACTTATACATATGTTTCTTTTGGTGTTTCACTAAATAGTATGATCACGTGAAAGGACCAGATGTACTCTATAATAAAACACATATAAATGAAATAAAATAAAATAAAACCCATCAGTGCACCTAGAACACATACCTTTCTTTGTAATGTTTTTTAAAATGCGCCCCTTAAATAAGTTTTAACAATGCACCAGTGACTTTAGACATGGTTTTAGTTGGTCAAAAACGCAATGTCACTTCACTACGTTAAAATAGCAAACTGTCAACAATGACCACGCCTCATTTAAAAAAACACCACTCCTATGAGAGGAAAGCAGGCACAAAATCATTTGGTATTTTGACAACGTGTGCACATGCCATGAAAATGAGCAATGCGCTGGTACGAAACTAGCAAAACTACTTTGCATCGCTCTTTGCACCGGTGGAAAATAGAGCCCATCATCTGACAATGCTGCCATATAAACAAAATTTGCTAGCTTGTTTTGCTTGTATTTCACCTCAGCAAGTACCTACCATGTATTATGTGCATTGTATGTGTTTTTATATTATTATTGTTATTGTTGTTATACACAACACAATTTAAACACATCTATGAAGTTCATTGTGGTTTTGGACAATGAATTAAATTAAATAAGTTTGTTACTTTGTTTTGTTTTAGGGAAAGGAAACCATGGCCAACCTTACCGAGACCTTCGATTATGACTACAATGAATCTAGTGTTTTGGATAAATTATATACAGAAGCACAAGAAATAAAAATATTAATGTACATGTACACAGGGATGTACAGCATCACCATTCTCTTGGGAGTACCGTTAAATATCCTGGTCATCATCACTCTTTTCTGCAGAATAGGGAATTATGAAGCTGCCATCTGGCTCTTGGGCATGGCCATCTCAGACCTGATCTTCTGCCTGTTCCTGCCGTTTCACATTGTCTCTGCATGGGACAACTTCACCTGGAGGTTTGGGTGGATACTGTGCAAGCTGAGTTCATTTGTGCCATTCATGTCCATGTATTTGACGGCCTTCATTCTTAGCTTCATGAGCCTGGAGCAGCTGTTCTTCAACAGATTTTCTTGTATTAGCTGCAGGTTTAATGCGTCAAAAAATATGTTACTGATGTCTTGGTTTGCTGCAGCTATCCTGAGCTGTCCATCCCTGCTGTACAGGGTAGTTCAGCACAGGAAGAATGGGGAGGTGTGCATGGACAATTATGAGTATGGAACCACCGGGCTGGTAACCTCAGAGGGGCTAAAGAGAAAAAGCACTGTTTTGTACATGCGATTCATCTTTGGAATCATACTTCCTGTAGCTTCAGCAGCCATCTGTTATTGCTTATTGGTCTTGAGGAAGAACAGTTTCCGAATTAAGTCATCTGTGAATTATCGCATCAGAAAGGCTGTAGTCATTGGCCACTGCCTGTGCTGGCTGCCTTGTCTATGTCTCCCACTCTGGCAGCACCACTCAACTACAGATATTTCTGCCATTTTGACAGTTGTCTTACCTGTTAGCAATGCACTTGCAGCCATAAGTGGGTGTATCAAGCCCATCATCTACATCACTACTGGTGACAGCCTTTTCCTTCCTTGGATGAAGGATGATTATGCCACAACTCGAGATGGCCAATCAAAATAATCCATAATTCAACTTAGAAAAACTTGGATACTGTGCAGGTAAGTATTAATTAGAAATGTCATGAAAATTACAATACTGACATCAAATGATATATAGGCATGACCTCTATACTTTTTCTAACCTTGATATTGGAAAATCGTGTTTACATATGTGTTTATATAAGAATGAATGCCACCAACATTTTAGCCAGTCGGGCTGCTTCTGCTCTCTTGCCTGCTCTCTGTGTTTGATCTCTGCACAGGACAGAATTTTTATGTCTTTTATGTCTTGTCCCGCTTGCTCCTGGAAAAGCTTGTCATACAATAATAATAATAATAATAATAATAATAATAATAATAATAACATTTATTTGTAATGGGCATTTGTCATACCCGATGCCCTCTTCATTCACCAACATGAACAAAAGTTTGGTAAAATAACAAAAAACATTTCAGCAATGTTTCATTATTTTAATTCTTTTTGCGGGATGCCGTGAGTTGTTTCTATTCTCCAGCTCCTGCATTCAAAAGTGAAAATGTAAAATGTAAAATGTGAAAATGCTCTATTGCCACAGGTCCCGTGGGATTGCAGATATCTACTCTGTGGAGCAGGCACGGTTCAGGCAGTTCCTTCACACACAAAGTGGACAACTAGAATAGGCATGTGTTTTAACACATGTTTTTTTCCCAACTACTGCATGATTCTAGCTAGAATGTTTGGAAGATTAGAATAAGTTCATATGGATTTGTTTTCAAAGCTCCATTCTACACCTCCAGTGTGGGAACATTTTGACTTTAAGCTGAATGAGAGAGGGGAGCCAATTAACATGAATGAGCCAGCATGTCGACTTTGACTAAACACAGTGTCAAAAATGCATCTAAAACATGACTATCCCATCCAGTTTTCAGAGGAGGGATCAAAAACTGCAGTTGGAGTTGAATTAGAATTAGAATTTGGTGATCAGTGGTCATTGTCAACACACCACAGCACACAGTGTGCAACAACGAAATGTGTCCTCTTCATTTAACCCATATGTGACTTTTCGTGACGTAGCAGGGGACAGCTAATTCAGTGCCCGGGGAGCAGTGCTTGGGGACGGTACCTTGCTCAGGGTACCTCAGTGGTGCCTTGCTGGTCGGGGATTCGAACCTGCAATCTTTCAATTACAAGTGCGCTTCCATCAAAATAGTTGTCTATTGCAGACGCCTTTGCGTGACAATGCAAATATAAATGTGACCACATGAAACGGCGGACACTTACAGATGCCATAATTCGCTATATAGCCAAAGAAATGCAGCCATTAACACAGTTGAAAAAACAGTAGTAAAACATATGCTGCAAACTTTTGAGAAACAGTATGAATTGGCAAAGAAAACATACATCTCCCAAACTGCCATTCCAGAATTGTACAAAAAAATGAAAGGGGACATTTTGAAGGAGATATTTAAAAAAATGTAAGTATTTACATTTTACTTTGCTACTACAGATCTGTGTCAAGCTGAAATATGACCCCATGAACCTGACCATACATTACATCACTGCCAACTGAACTCTGCAGTCAGTGTTCAGAGACCAGATACATACCTAAAAACCTTTTGTGGTTTTATTTGTGTTTTATTCATTTAAGGGCTGTTTCTTAAAAAACCGAGTGAGAGTAAGTAAGCGAAGACTCTCTTCCCAAATAAATCATCATGCTGTAAAGGAAAATCAGCCACTTTACAATATTTTAAAGTAAATTAAAGAGTACTCACTGTAACATCAAGAGAGAAGACAAACTCAATTTCAGTTTTAAATAAAACAATGAATGGGGCGGCATGGTGGTGCAGTGGTTAGCACTGTTGCCTCACACCTCTGGGACCTGGGTTCGAGTCTCTGCTTAGGTCACATGTGTGTGGAGTTTGCATGTTCTCCCCGTGTCGTCATGGGGTTTCCTCTGGGTACTCTGGTTTCCCCCCACAGTCCAAAGACATGCTGAGGCTAATTGGAATTGCTAAATTGCCCTTAGGTGTGCATGTGTGAGTGAGTGGTGTGAGTGTACCCTGCAATGAGCTGGCCCCCCATCCAGGGTTGTTCCCTGCCTCGTGCCCGTTGCTTCCAGGATAGGCTCCAGACCCCCTACCACCCAGTAGGATAAGCAGGTTGGACAATAGATGGATGGCTGAATAAAACAATGACAAAAAAGATTAAAAATAGATTGCCACATGTCACAAGGTGGAGGTTTCGGAGTGGGGAAGCAGGAGCAGGAGTCCAGGGAAATTTCCTGCAGTATGGAGGAGTTTGAGGTGAAAAATTATTCTGATGACTATGAAAATTACCCCTACAAAAACACAACATTGGATCATGTTGTTTATACACACCACAGATCCTGCAGGAATTAGCTTTCCTGCATAACTGTCATCATAGTCAATACCCTTCATCTGCTTACTGGGGAGTTTTGGGAATGGTGTTATCATCTCTATTGCTTGACTCAAGATGACCAACACCGTCAACACGACCTGGTATCTCAGCCTGGCGATCTCCGACTTCCTGTTCTGCCTTTTCCTCCCTATAAAAACATGTGAATATGTGGCCACCCAAAACTAGATTTTTGGGCTCTCCATTTGCAAGATCACCTCCTTTGTAATGTTCCTCACCATTTTCCTTCTGGTCTTCATCAGTATTGACCATTGTGTGTCTGTGGTGTTTCCAATCTGCTCACAAAATCTGGAAGGCATTTATCATGGTTGCTTTGGCCTGGATTGTTTCCATTGCCCATTGCCCTGATCTCTCCTTCAGCAATTTCCTGGAAAACTAAAGTCGAGGGAGGAAGAGCTGTGTGCTACATTGATTATGAACTGTTCTCCAGTCACTCTGCTGTTGTCTCAGTCAGTATGTGTGTGGGTTTCTTTTGCTGTCATCATTTGTAAACTTAGAAGCAGCAGAATGACCAAGTCGTCCAAACGATTCAAGGTCATGTCTGTCATGGATCCGGGCTGCTCGGGCGCGAGAACGAGGCATAGTGCACAAAAAAGGGTGGACGACCTACTGGGGGCTTCCAGGAACAAAAAATGGGGTTTATTAAATAAACAGAAAACACTTCAAACACAACAAAACCAAAAAGGACCACAAGGGGTCAAAAACTAAAGGCAATAAATTAAGACTACAAATCACAAATAAACATAAACTGGGCAGGTAAACATAAGACAGATCTAACTTCAAAACCGTAAGACAATAAACAACAATCAACGAACCACTAGAGAACAGAACAGAAGCAGGGACTTAAATACAGAAACCAAAACTGGGTAATAAGGCTAACACAGGACAGGTGAGACTAATTAACAGAGACCAGGAAAATAGGGCACAGGTGAAACTAATAAACTCAAAGGAACAAAACAGGGAAACAGGGAAACTAAGAACTAACCAAGGAAACAGGGAAATAGAAACCAACACTAAGGGATTATAAACAGGTAAAGACACAAGCTGGGGCACAAGGAACAAAACAAAAACCAACTACTAAATCAGACACAAGAACTAGAGAAACTCAAATGAAACACAAGGGATCAAAATACAAAAACAGAGGAGGGGGGATTTGAACACAGGACAGAAGGGTTCATAAACAACTGGATGCTCAATGTGTTGAGCTATGAGGCTAACAGAGAACTGGGGAAACACAAAGACCAACATGATGGACGGGATGACCAGCAACACCTGCTGGCCAAACGGGGAAGGGACACAGTAGGACCACAGGGGCTGACCCTGACACATGTCTGCACTGATAGCAGCATTCTTAATTTGCTGATTGCCCTACCATACATTTGTCCTGCTGGAGCTAAACCATAATCACCATAACACTGAATTTTTAAAAGCTGGGTTAACATCGGGCACCACTATTGCCAGTGCTAATAATTTTTCAAACCTTATTCTGTGTGTTTTCATGGGCAAAGACTTCAAGCATAAGTTCAAGAGCCCTCTCTGAATACAATGGGTGGGGGAGGAAGGACGTACAACCAGCTGTTACGTAAATTCCGAGTTCCTAGTTGGAAATTTCAACTGGAACGCCCTCTCAAGTCAGAATTCCAAGTTGTGAACTCAGAGGAATCTACACAACCCCAAGCTCAGAATTCAAGATGGCTGTACTCTTTATCAACAGAAGTCAAAGCTGTAGTTTTATACTGTTTATTAGCACTTTTGTCTTATTTGTGGCTCATTAAGTCGGTTGTATACACAGTACTGTCCAACCACTATCTGTGGACTTGTTTCTACGGTGTTTTTATGCACAAAATACAGCGTAATGTGTTATCCATTGATATTGCTAACAATTAACCGGGCTAGAACTGGTGCCCGTTTCATTAAGCAGGATTTCTTGCTTAAGTGGACAACTTGTCGTATTTAAGTGAATGAATATAAGGCAATTTAAACTGGGGTAAATTAAAACTGACAAGTTATCCAGGTAAGCAAGAAATCTTGCTTTTTGAAATGGGTTCCTGGTACCGCTAAATGCTTTCCAACTTGCTGTCTTGAAACACTATTAACTGTGTGATGTCATTCCCAGTTTCAAGTTGTGACCTCTGAGGTAAATGAAATTTACAGCCATGCTCCATGCTGAGGCATTGATGACTCGGTTCATCCACAGGCTACATTCACTCTATTTAAGCTTTATTATGGAGCATTTATTCCTAGTATCAGAACTGGACTGACCACCTGGCATACCAGGCATTTTCCTGGTGGGATAATGTAGGGGGTATGTGGGGGACCCCAATCCATGCTCCCCCCAACCCAGTCAGCAAAATTTATCACTTGGTAAAAGTGATGGGGGACTCCATTGTCCAGGGCCGATAATTAATCCCAGTCCAGCTCTGCCAAGCATTGTTGTCACATGTACTGTAACCCAGTTTGCTATGGAGTGAATGTATCCTACTGCATATTAAGCTCATTTAAGCCAATTAGAACAAAGTGCATGGTGCAGCTTTTTGAGAGTGATATCTTTTAATATGTTATCGGAGGTATACATTGTTATAAAGAATGTAGTTCATCACGTACTTGTTGGTGAATCAGTGATTTTGTGTTTGCACCTAAAGGCATGCTACTGCATTTGGCTTGCCTTTCCACTTTGTTTTAAATGCAGTTCCCTGTGTTATATACAAGTTATATTTTGTGTGTCCTTGAACAAAAGTGTTTTGAGTTTATATGGGATATATAACACTGTATAACAAAAATGTGACATAAAAGACCCATAGAGAATGTGACCTTCTAACCTTTAGCTAATGCATGCTATTTACTGTAGCACAGTGTAACCATACAGTACAAGTATGTATCCATACCCTATGTTAGCCCTGCAGTACATTGTTATGATGTAGGCCATAAAATATAAGTAGTTTTCAGCCAACCGAGTAAGGAAACTTTATTTCCGTAGTGTCTTTGAAGAGAATCACCTAGTTCATTGCTAATATACATAAAAAAAATTTGTAGAGATGGTTTGCCACAGTTATGTTTACTAGAGGGACCAAGCAGTAAAAGAAATGACAGCTTGATCACACAGAGGCAGGGAATACCTAACTCGACAAGGAAGGAAATAATAGTGCCAATCAAATGGGAGCAGGGAATACCTAAAACCCCATAAGGAAGAATGCAATGGTGGCGACTAGTCAAGGAGAGATGATGCTTAGTGCATCCCCTGTGACAAAATCTGATGAGATAAGAAAAGGGTATAAGAATCAGTGTAAGCCAGCATTAGACACACTTCTGCAGGGTGTCCAGCCTTGGTTGTGACTCCATGGTTGCAATAAAGACTGAATCTGAAGATCTACACAAGCGGCTCTTGACTGCTGATTGGTTGAGAAGAAAACCACAACAGTGTATCATTGTTAAGGGTCCAAAGCACATAGTGCTATGGAACCATAATGTTTTTGTTAGGATTTTTTCCTTTTATTATTTTTCTTCCCTAAAACTGAATGCCCAGCCTAAACCATAAGACCTAGGCCTACCAAATTTGGCAGGAGGATGCCTATTCCTACCCACCACTCAGACCCTCCGACCCATGCCTGTCAGTCAGAGCTGTAGTGCCCCCCTACACATTTCGTGCGATATCTCCTGACCCGTTGGTCCTACAGTCAAATTTTTTTTCTGCAGATACAGACAGCCCAGCCCTACCAACTTGCCAAACCAATCAGTCCTCTGAGCTGATCAATAGCTATAAAAAAGTCTGTCATTTGTCTGTCCTACGACCAATAGCCATGCCCAAACCCTGCCCAAATTTGGCCTGTTTTAGTCTGACATTTGTATTTAAGTCCACATTTAAGTATGTTTCCCCAGTCATTGAAGTCTAATGTCGTTGTGTGATTCTGCCTGTCCTCTGTCCTCCATTAAACCTCATGTTCCCTGATCGCTTGAGTCCTGTCTGTGCTTCCCCGGTCCCAGCTCGGCAGATTGTGACACCTTGTGAAATGATTTGTTTAGATTTGTTTCAATAGTTTTACTGTTATAGGCTGATGTTTGAAACGTCTTCATTAGCTTAAAAATGAAAATTGGTACCGATTGGACTGATATTACCCCATCAGGCTGAGCTAAGAAGATAAACATCAAAAGCCAACAATAATCAATATGTGACATTCAAGGAAGCCTTTTCAAAATGTTTGAGGTGTTGTGCAGGCTCTGCAATGTTCGCTCTCTGCATAAGGTTGTGTTCAATACCACATACTATAACTTACTGACTAAATTTCATTGAACAGTAGTGTTTTACTGTCAAGGTAGTACATACTGTACATATGCATGATAGTCTGCTTTGGAGCCACAAGCAGACAGCCAAAGAGCCGCGGGTTGCTGGCCCCTGGTCTAGTACAATGAGGAACAAAGACCTTAAACAAGTAGGAAAACAGTTTTTAATTTGTTCCACTCATTAAATTACTTTTCCTAAATCACTCTATTAACAAACTACACTATATTTCCAAAAGTATTGGGACACCCCTCTAAATTATTAAATTCAGTTGTTCCAATCACTTCCTTAGCCACATGTGTATAAAATCAAGCACCTAGGCATGTAGACTGCTTCTACAAACATTTGTGAAGGAATGGGTTGCTCTCAGGAGCTCAGTGAATTCAAGCATGGTACCATGATAGGATGCAACCTGGGCAATAAGTCCATTCGTGAAATTTCCTCGCTACTAAATATTCCACGGTCAACTGTTAGTGGTATTATATCAAAAGTGGAAACAATTGGGGACAACATCAACTCAGCCACGAAGTGGTAGACCACGTAAAATGACACAACGGGGACAAAGCATGCTGAGATGCACAGTGTGCAGTAGTCGCCAGCTGTCTGCAAAGTCAATAGCTACAGACCTCCAAACATTGTGAGGCCTTCAGATTAGCTCAAGAACAGTGCATACAGAACTTCATGGAAGCCTTACATCACCAATTGCAATGCAAACCTTCAGATGCAGTGGTGTAAAGCACGCCGTCACTGGACTCCAGAGCAGTGGAGACGTGTTCTCTGGAGGGACGAATCATGCTTCTCTGTCTGGCAATCTGATGGACGAGTCTGGATTTGGCAGTTCCCAGGAGAATGATACTTGCCTGACTGCATTTTGCCAAGAGTAAAGTTTGGT